ACAACCAAACAGCTTCCTCACTTTTCCACTTGTCACCCCCTAATACAGCTTTGAAAACGATCACCATGTTTATGACTTCCAGAAAATTCTCCCACAAAGTGAACAAGTACAGTAATTCAAAAGGAAAAGCTGTGCATAAACACAACTGATACTCAAATATGGAATGGCTATAAAGTCCCATTCAAAACTGGTCTCCCTTTATGTAGACCTTGTACAGTTAACACACAAAAAGTTAGAAGTCAAAACAATAACAAACAACACAAAAATATTACATTATTGTATAGTTTCATTTTTTTTAAAGAACAAGCTTGCATGCATTTGACATTATGACTTAAATTTGTCATATAAAAATTTTTTGTATAATAACATTCTTCAGATATCATACAATTTTCTTAATTTCACAAAGTGCTGAATTACGAGTTTGAGAATCATGCTGATCTGAATAAAGCCTAGTGATGACGATTCAGAAGCACAAGTTTTAAAATGACAAGACTGGAGTGAGGATGATCAGATGAAGAATCACACATGAACACACAACAATAATCATCTATCTAGCAGTAAAAAAACATAAGGTATAGAAGTCTATAGTTAAATCTAACAATGGGAGGAATGAATCAATGCTGACTTAGATCTACTTTATATCAATCTCAAAGAAATTCAAACTGATGACTCTGATAATCAAATTATCATATAATCAGTTCTCTAACCAAGACAAAATAAAATAAAAAAAGAAAGAAAGAGAATAAAAAAAGAACATTTGTATCATGTACAGATGACAATGTAAGGTTTAATAAATTAAGATCATGACTGTGATTTAATTATATCCCAATAAAATGAGGATAAAACAAATTCATTTCTCAACTTATTGGAAATGGATATTTCGGCTCAGGTAAAGCAAGATTAAGCTACTCGTACTCACAGATGCTGAGCTGCTTTTCTGAATCTTATACAAACTGGATTTAATTCTGCATCACACAAATAATGAAAATTATTTAAGAACCTTCATGTATTTGACACTTTATGAAATTACATGTAGCTTATATTACTTTTGGTGGAGTGTACTATTCTTTAGAATGTGTATGAAAACATTTTTTAATAAGTGTCTAATTACTTTTTGGTAATTCTAGCCATATTAAATGTGTAACCACACTTTTCACAGCAATTAATAGTTCTTCGAGTAGGCATGTTCTACATGTCTTGGAGACGTCACAAATATTAAAAGATAAATATATAGGTTCAGGTGAGGCCAAAGGAGAATCATAAAAGAAGTAAGACCTGTATATGCAGTTTATGGTTTAAAAACCTTTAAGATTTGTAGATGAAATTGTTCTAAAAGCTATCAGACTTTTCCCACAGAGGTTTAACACAATGTGCAGAAAACATAACGATGTTACTGAACCTGTTCTGTATGTAAGCAACAAAAGCAGTAAATTCTGGATAAATGTTGTGAAATGTGTATAAATGTACATTTACCCAGTGTTATCAAAGTAGCTGTATACATCACAAAACTTGTATACTATATAAAGTTCACTGTTGCTGCTTCACACACACACACAAGCAACGTGTATGTAGATAAGTGCATAGTAAAAATTTCATGTGAAGTGGATGAAGTTAGTGAAACTATGTATCTGTTGTCATTACCAGCCACGTGTACACTTTATATATAATGACAACAGATACATAGTTTGTAACATCAGCCACGTGTACACTTTATATATAATGACAACAGATACATAGTTTGTAACATCAGCCACGTGTACACTTTATATACGTTACAGGAACTGAAATTATGTAGTTAAGGTATCAGATACTGTTATAAAAGTTGTATGGTAGCTGATGTTACAGAAACTGAAATTATGTAGCTAAGGTATCAGATACTGTTATGTAAGTTATATGGTAGCTGATGTTATATACGCTGTACATGTAGCTGACGTTACAGAAACTGAAATTATGTAGCTAAGGTATCAGATACTGTTATACAAGTGGCATGGTAGCTGATGTTATATATGCTGTAAATGCAGCTGATGTTACAGAAACTGAAATTATGTAGCTAAGGTATCAGATACTGTTATACAAGTTGCATGGTAGCTGATGTTATATATGCTGTACATGTAGCTGACATTACAGAAACTGAAATTATGTAGCTAAGGTAACACAAACTGTTATGTAAGTTGTATGGTAGCTGACGTTACAGAAACTGAAATTATGTAGCTAAGGTATCAGATACTGTTATATGAGTTGCATGGTAGCTGATGTTATATATGCTGTACATGTAGCTGACGTTACAGAAACTGAAATTATGTAGCTAAGGTAACACAAACTGTTATGTAAGTTGTAAGGTAGCTGATGTTACAGAAACTGAAATTATGTAGCTAAGGTATCACATAAACTGTGTTATGCAAGTTGTATGGTAGCTGATGTTATATACGCTATACATGTAGCTGACGTTACAGAAACTGAAATTATGTAG